CATAAAACAGCATGTGTGTTACTGTTACATGAGAAACTATCTGTTCTGTACGCCTTCACCTGAAGTACAATAAAATATTTAAAAAAAAAAAAGAACAGCGAAAACAAAGCTCTAAACATCAGTTCCTCAATGTGAAGTTTTTTGGGGTACTTACCCAAGTCTTCCTAACATCTCAAGCTCAGGAACTTTTGGTCCACATGACTCTATTTGCAGTGGTTGGTATTCATATAGAGCTTCTTCAAGCTTCTGAATAGGTGCCAATGAAATATGTTGACCCTGTTAGAAAAATGAAGGAAATTAATACATTTTAATATTACTTTCACATTGTTACATATTTATGGTCATTTTAAAGATGGACTAAATTTCTCACAGTAATAATATTATCCATTATGCTTACTGTTCCATGGGTGTAATGCATTACATTACTGAAACCCACATTATATAACTAACATATGGTCACTGACATATGATTTAAAGGAGGAAAACCAAATCCATCATTAAATTCAAATTTAGCCTTAAACAGTACAGTTGTTCAATGTGAATGGTAGAACTGGGCAAATAAATAAGCATAATCCATCCTCACATTTTCCTATTTTTATTATACAGCTTTGACAATTTAATCAGTGTTTTGTTGCAAGCCATAATAAAGGAGAGAAGCTAATGAAATTATTTTCTGCAAAGCTTTGCCAGATAAATATTTAGTCACTTAAGTCTTTACAATGAGATCAAATTTACTTACCAAATGAGTATATGATGTTAAAATAGACATATAAATACAAAACATAAAAATTTTATGCCAAAATCTGATTAGTTGAATGAAGGCATCTTAGTGTTTTTCTGACAAGAAAGAACTACTGGATAACTAAAATAAATCTAAGGACCATACCTGACCACAAGAATACAAATTAAAATGGCACATAGCCATGTAGTACCATTACATTGAGATTTACAAATTTATCACACATCTGCCCATAAAATTCTCATTTTTTAAGAATCCTTGTTCTTCATATAGTCCATGTTTTCTGATTCTAATCCTAATCCTATTCTTCTCCTTAGTATGTTTCCCATAGATTTTTCTATTTCAAAACTTTTTTTATAAATCAGTTTTTACAGTTACTAATTTCACCAATTTTCTAGTTAATGATTAATTTGTTACTCCTTTCTTTAGTTTTCCTTTACTTTTTCCTCCTAAATTACTAAGTTGGATACTTAATATATCTGATATTTCTTTTGTTAAAAAAAGAGTAAAAACTGTGACTTAAAAGTGATAAAGTACAATTGTAATAAGTAGTGAGGAATAAGGAAGACAATCATTGAAGATGCTTGCACTTGATTCACGGTTTTTCTCTCCAACAAGTTCAATCTCATGTAACATTATCCTAGCTAGTTTAATAGTCATATTAACAGCATCTCTACACTGTGACCTCAAAAGTCCTTCACCTTCTCTTTTCTAATGACCTTTACATACACCTTAGAAAAATTTTCACTGCCACAACCTGGACTTTAATTCCTAGAGAACTACTTTCCTTCTAAATTCTTGAATTCTAAATTCTATTCTAATCACTAAATCCTAGATTCCAACTAAACATTCTTTGACCTCCATGGGCCCTAATCGATAAGTCCTCTCCAGAATCACCTCCTCCTTTGCGTGTACTTCACAGTCAAATATTTTAACCACACTTTCACTAGCACCTCCAATCTCACTTGGGCTTCCATAAGGCCTAACAATTCCCAACTGTTAATTTTTCTGTCCTACCCACAGGTTTCAGGGCCCTGAATGTAGCTCTATGCTCCTTTTCCTCTTTCATATTCATCTCCTCTTTGATCTCTCAGATTTCTAACAGAGCCCACAACTTCACCACTATTCCCTTTACTCTCTGCAAAGGATCCAGGAAAATATAGGCCAAAAGGCATGAACTAGCTCAACTCTCTCCATCCTTACCTCCTTGTTAACTATCTCTGAGGAAGAAGCAGCACTCCTTCTATGCAAAGCAAATCTTCCAGTACTTTGATTCTATCCCCTCAGCCTCCTCCAGAATTTATTCTACTAATTATCATATTAAAACAAAACAAAAATTTAAAAAAATGAAAAGTTCTGTGAAGTACCAAGAAATATAAGTAGGATCAATGGTAAAAGTTAGGAGAAATTAACTTTTGCATTATAACAAGAAGAAAGACAATAATTAGAGTCATCACAGTAAAACGGGATGAACTACTTAGAGAAGCAATGAGTACTTCATCACAGTAGGTAATCAAATATGAGCTGAACGGCCTCGTGAAGAATAATATGAAGGAAGTTCTGGAAGTAATAGGGTAACTCAGTTATATATTCTCCAAGGATCATCTCACTGTGAACTTCCAGAAAAATTGTGAAGTACACCTTTTGCAAGTTGTCAACCTATTGAAATCTTTTTTTTTTTAAAGGAGGTTGCTTTGTCAACATTGTCACACATGCAAGATAATCAAACCTGTGGTTGAAACAATAAGATTTACCATATTTTTATGTAAATAACACGCACCTTCTATGTGTGTTTGCCAACCGCGCCCTCCCCCCACCAGGTATTTTCATAAGGGCCATTATGCCAACTTTTTTTACATGTTTTTGTAAAAAAAAAAAAAATTAGCATAGCACACTTACAAAAATATCGCGATGGGGGAGGGCACGGTTGGCAAACACACGCAGAAGGTGCACATTATTTGTGTAAAAAATACAGTAATTTAATAGTCTATATATTGGCACAAAAATATGCATTTTTTTCATTTTCTTAAAACAATATTTTAAAGAAAGACTTTCATTTTGCATTTGTCCTGTTTATATCACGAAACTTTGGTTACTACAATATTTAATAATCTATGCCATTCATTTTGGTACTTAGTTATACAGTACTCGATATTATTCATGTTTCATGTCTGGATAGCCTCTCTCACATGGGAAAGAGTACATATTGATTTTGTTTTTAGCAATTTGCAAAGTTCTGTAGGAGATACAATAAAAGATTAGAGCAATTGCACTGAAGAAACATATGAAAACTGAAGCCAATATAGTTGTTGTTGCTGTTGTTAGGTGTCATCAAGTCAGTTCCTACTTGTAGCAACCCTAAAAGACAGAGTAGAACAGCCCCACAGGGTTTCCAAGGAGCGGCTGGTGGATTTGAACTGCCAACCTTTCTGTTAGCAGCCTGAGCTCTTAACCAATGAGCCACCAGGGCTCCATACCTCAGTAAAGCTGTTACAAAATAAAAAAAGTTTAATGGTGGTTCAAATCAATTCAACACTGCTGACTGTGAAATATCCAAGGAGAAATTTTCAGTAAAGACAGCTAAAAATACAAAAGAACCTCAAGAGAAATTTGGCTATTATCAGCATAAAATGATGGGTAAAGTCACAAGAATAAATAAAGACTGGGGGGAGGGGATAAATGTATAGAGAAGTGTGAGGCTCTGGCACTGAGTCTTGAAAATACCCACATTAAGGAATTCAAGTAAATGTGGCTGTTTTTCTAAAGTATAACACAAAACTGAGGACCTTTCCATTTTCATTATTGCCATATAAATATAATAAATGAGGCATTGGGGGTAAAAATGTAGAGAGAAGAGCCACAGCAAAGCATACAACCTTAGGTGATACCCATACTCAGAGAAAAAAACATGTATGCAAACTATACATCAAATAGTTTAATTAATGCTTTTACTCTCCTGGAATGTAACAAAATGGAGCCTCTGTTTCCTCTCCAAGATATAGCATAGAGCCCTAGATTATATTTCAATCGTTTGCGAGTCAAAAAATATAAGCACATGTATAAAGGTTTTCTAAAATCTAGCTCATTTCCATATAGAAACACATACATTTGAAAAAATAATGTAAATGCTAAATGCTGACAAAGGTAATTATACATAGTTGTATTCTGAAGTAATAATCTGAAACGTAGCGTTTACCTTACTCAGAAAATTTGAAGGCTACTATAAAAGAACAGTTTACCATTTACAGAGCTTTATCTATCAGATAATTTATACACTACAAATATTATCATTATTTTTTCTCCCCAAGTAAAGAAAAAGCATAGACCACCTTTTGTGCTAACTCTAAAAGATCAGTATTTAATTTACAAATGAAAAATATGATCCAGATTTCTGGCACACATTCATTAAGAGATGAAATTAACCCTAAAAACAACTTTTAGGTTTAAAAAATTCTGGTCGTTATGAAAAAGAAAAAAAAAAATTAGAATACACCAAACCATTCAGAATAACATTACCAAAGAAAACATATTATTTTCTAATAAAAATAACAGCAACAGAATCAATTAGTAACCATCAGAATATAAACTGTTGAAATCAGTAATAAAATAAAAACACTAAAAATGAAAATACAGTTATATACCAGTTGGTATATGATTTGCTATTAATTATACAGGAGAATTTATAATTCATAAAGTATCAGTAATTTAGGCTAATAGGTTAAATGATTCTGAAAATCCTTTAACACAATTTTAAACTTAAGACTCTAATTTTTCTGTCTTATTTAAATGACTTTTGTTCACCAGACTAGCCCATCTTCAACATGTTTGCTAATAAGCTCTGAAAGCTTGTTACACTCTCTTTGTATAATTGTGTTTAACATCTGTTTCCCCTACATTAGACAGTAAAGCCTCATGTTCACTACTATGCCTTATAACACAGTGCATGGCACTGAAGAGTTGCTCAGTAGTTTATACATGAATAAAAAATATAAAAGGGCATATGAGGATCTCCAAATTCTATAAAGAATGTTCTTACTGAGTGTAAATAATTAGAATTTTGTTAATCACATGTATTATGAGCATACACAAGGAATACTACATCTTCCCTTCTCCAGACTTCAGTATTTTTTTTCTTTCACTTTACTCATTTATTACCGAAAGTCAGTGAATGCTTTTTATCCCTAGACTGTGAATGTGCTTTCTAGCCATTTAACAAAATTTTAGATAACAAAACATTGTGGTTGTTCTGTGACATTTACCACCCAGCCACACACAAATACTGAGCACCTACCATATGCCAGGAACTGAAAAGTACAGCAGATACAAGCTTCTGACCTCAGGGAGCTGACATTCTAGCAAATCACATTACAATGAGATTGTGCCTTCTGCTTTTATTTCTTAGGGTCATCTAAATGTAAGAAAAAATTATAGTGGTAGTTGTTTTCTTAAACTCAGTTTTCTCATAATGCTGAATTTATCAAATTCTATAGAATGTGTTACCATTGCTAAATGGAATTAGAAACCAGAATATTTCACT